TCGGCTGTAATTTCTTTATTGTGTAGTGTAGGATTATTCTATGTTTCTATGCCTTAGTCTCTTTATTGTATAGTGTATGTTTTTAGAGGTGATAGTATAGAGTATGATAATTCTTTGAATATGCTATGTCGTTCAAACGAGGGCCAACTCGCCCAAACATTGTAGTGATCATGGTCGTCCATAGGCTGTACGATCCATGGGCCATCTACGTGACGGACGATCCATGGCCTTCTACGGGTTGTCGGATCCGTGGGCCTTCTATGGGCCGTCGGATCGATGGGCCTTCTATGGGCCGTCGGATCAATGGGCCTTCTATGGGCCATCGGGTCAATGGGCCTTCTATGTCCCGTAGGATCCATGGGCCTTCTACGGGCCGTCTCATCTATGGGCCTTGTACGGGCCGTATAAGGGGCCGTAAACGGGCTAGAGTTGAAATCATCTGTTCATGGGCCGACCATAACGGGCCGTCGTTAATCGGCCGTATTTGATGACACTATGAAAACGGCCCAATGTATTAGCGGGCCTCAAACGGGCCGACTGTAACCATGGGCTGAATTTGTCCCACAAGCAAAAAATGACAGTAACGGGCCGAAAGTAAACGAATGCTGGAAATGAGCGCAAGAATAAATGGGCCCTTAGAAGGCCGAAAGATAATATGGGCTGGAAACGGCCCAACGGAATAATGGTCCGTTAATGGGTATAAAGTGATACACTGTTCATTACGGGCCAGTTTTACCATGGGCCGTTAATGGGCCGAGGGTTACTAAGGGCCTCATATGGGTCGAAAGACGTCATGGGCCATACATGGGCCGGAAGTTAAAATAGGCTGGAATTATATTGGACGGCCTAGATGACGCTACTGGGCCTAATTCGGATAGGCCGTAAATGGGCCCTAGGTTAGCGGGCTGTAAATGGGATATATGCGAACAGGCCATTAACAGGAATGGGCCTCTGTTGGGTCGTGCCACGTGTCGACGTATCATATGCGCTTTGGGTCCAATGAGTGGATGACATCTGTCCCAACGGCAAGCCGGCACGTGTTCCCTCCAGCCAATGATGATTTTACACGTGGAAAATCCCCATTGGTCGGGGCTGTTAACGGGTTATCGGATCCAAAACCGGACCTGGTAGCTTAACGGCGTTTCGTTACGGTGGATGCCATGTGTCGGTCACCCTTGACGAAAGCACTTATGTGACGCACGATTTATCGTCATGGAAGTGGACACTTCCGTGATGATAATTTTGGTAATGTCATGGAACACTTCTACGACAGCACAGGTATGACTATCTTGATTCTGTCATAAAATTTTCATGGATGTACATGCATGACAGAAAACGTGACTTACTGTGACAAACACGTATCATCACGGAAGTGTATTTTTTTGTAGTGTACACTTGTGTTGAGGTCAAGATATTCCATTCCAACCACATAAATCTTGATCTCTAGCCTTCCCCAAGTTGCTTTCCACTCAAATTTTTTTTCTACCAAATCCAAATCCTGTGAGAGAGAGTTGAGTGTTCGGGAGACTATCATTTGAAGCACAAGAGCAAGGAGTTCATCATCAACACACCATTTGTTACCTCTTGGAGAGTGGTGTCTCCTAGATTGGCTAGGTGTCATTTGGGAGCCTCCGTCAAGATTGTGGAGTTGAACCAAGGAGTTTGTAAGGGCAAGGAGATCGCCTACTTCGTGAAGATCTACCCGAGTGAGGCAAGTCCTTCGTGGGCGACGGCCATAGTGAGATAGACAAGGTTGCTTCTTCGTGGACCCTTCATGGGTGGAGCCCTCCGTGGACTCGCGCAACCGTTACCCTTTGTGGGTTGAAGTCTCCATCAACGTGGATGTACGATAGCACCACCTATCGGAATCACGCCAAAAATCTCCGTGTCTACATTGCATTTTCTCCCTCAAACTCCTCCCTTTACCTTCATATGCAATTGTTTTACTTTCCGCTGCTATACTTTTAGAATTGCATGTGTAGATTGATTGCTTGACTTGTGCAAAGTTGCTAAAATCTGCCAAGAACTAAAATTGGAAAAAGGCTAGATTTTTATTTGGTCAAGTAGTCTAATCACCCCCCCCCCTCTAGACATACTTTCGATCCTACAGTAGCCCAAAATCCTAAAGCTGAGTCTGATATTGGTCTGGGAAAGAGTACAAAAAGGCGAATAACCAACTCGTGTAGATTAAAATGCCGTATTGCTATTTTCATTAGCGTGTGCTTTGTCAAAGTTGTCCCTTCTAGGATTCACCACTCCTGGTACCCCGCATTCTTCTCCTCTGATGCAGTGATCATGGAAGACTACCCGGCTCATTCACTGCAATTATCCACTCCCCTTAAATTGGATTTCAGTATATGCCCCTTTGTCATTAATGGATTTTGCAGCTCTCCTGCCAACATTCAAAAAAGTAGTATATGGCACTGCCATGTCTGCATGACTACATTTTAGTGGCATATACTGAAACTCGATGCACAGAGGTTAGCATATCCTGAAATCTAGCATACAACTCTTTCTTTTTCAAGATCAACTTGCAAATAGCCTGGCCTTCTTGGCAGTATTAAGACAAATTCATTCTGCAGAGAAATGAGCAGAGGGCAACAACTTGTAAATATTCCTTTGCCCTCTGCTACTGCTTCCTTCGTACATTCAGAGATTGCACTAGCAGAGGGCAACAATTGGCACTTGCTTCATTTCGAAGATGATCATTTTAAAGGCATTGAGGAAAATATGTAAATAAGGGTCTTTAAAATCCTTTAGAGGAGCAAAATGAGCAGCTAACCGCACCTAAACAAACTCTTAAACATTTCGATGAGCAAAATTTTAATGAGTTATCCCCCAAAAGGCAGCCCAAGCCTCTCATTTTAACTCGACCGACGTCACTTCTCGGGATAATTTCGGCCGCTCCCCACTCCTGCCCGAGGCGCCACCTCTTCCCACCACAGCCGCCCCTCGCTGTCGCCGCCACTGCAACCCTCGATTTAGGCCTGAATGGAACCGAAAGGCAATTCCGCTACCCCGCCAGCCACTGATGTCGCCGGAATTGAGCCCCCACCCCCGGCGCTGGCAGGGCGAAGGAAACGTTTGGCGACAAAAAACTTGCTCCGTGTTGTGCGCCAGTCATCAAAGGTCGGCAGTAAGGCCCCAGCAGCCGGGACGATGCTCGGTCATCCTCTCTGCTGCTTCGGTCGGCAGCAAGCAGATGAGGAAGCCGACAGAGGCGATGAAGGTCTGTCCGCACTCATCCAGGCAGTGACGAAGAAGAAGAAAGCCACCACGCGAAGCCTACAACACCTCCTTCTCGTTTGGTGGCTCGTAGCCTCGCTCCTGCCACCCCTACACCTCCTCCGGCATGTTTGGCCGCCCCAGTCGTGGTCGAGGGTTGTCAAGTAGTAACCAAGCTCATAATTTAGCAAATTGTGATTATGATTATAATCATAATGATAATTAAAATCAGCTCTCGTTATGTTGTCATAATCATAATCATAATCACAACACCGTGAGAGAGGGCTTGGTGAACAAATGTGAATTAAAATCACCTTTTGTTATGTAATAATAATCATAATTTGGCATTTTCTTCTACTATATAAGAGGGGATGACAAAACATCTGAATGTTGTCACAAAATACTAAAAGTTAATCAAGAGTCCCAATATTGGTACAATAGATTATGACAAAAATCTAAGAAGAATACAAATAAAGAAATAATGATTGTTCACCAAATGGACTATCTCCTATAACAAATGCAAATTCCATAAACCCAATTTTAGTGATCATTTGAGCATTTTTTCACTTCAAAAAATTTATATACCATGGTTTAAGATATATAATAAGAAATGTGAATTAAAATCACCTTCCGTTATGTAATAAATGTAGTTTAGCATTTTCTTCAACTTTTAAGAAGAAGAAATTAAAATAAAACAAAAGTCGTCAAAATTTGTGAAACTTTTCACAGTGTCTTAACATCGGTACATAAGCTTGTCATAAAAATCTCAGACTATTTCTCGGAAGTTGGAAAACCATTTACTTAGAAATGCCCCATTTTGGTCTACCTATAGCATCATTTTAATTCTCGAAAGTTGGAAAACCACTTGCTTAGAAATGCCCTATTTGGTTTACCTATAGCACGATTTTGTAAAACTGACCAAAATTCATGTTTCCCCAAAAAATATTAAAATATTCCAATAATTCTACATGCATGTATTTGCATGAGATGGAAAAGTTTAGCTTTAAAATTATATTTTGAAACGGTGCCATCACTTAATTGGTACTCTCTCCGTTCTAAATTACTTGTCTTGGATTTGTCTAGATACGGATGTATCTAGACTCATTTTAGTGCTAGATACCTCCATATATAGACAAATCCAAGATGAATCGAACTAGCAAATGTGTCCTTTTTTGCGTGAGACGAAGGGAGCGGCAAAGGGGGCAGATCCAACGGTTACAGCCATCTTGATCGAATGTGGACCGATGTAGGGCCTGCGCCGATCGACCGGCACGGAGCGCTGCCCAGAAACAACACAGCAACATAGTTGCTCACTTGTGTACAACCTTTTTTCTTTTCTTTTTTGTTATTTTCCGCTTAAGAAACATTGAACGTTCTGACGGTTGCAATTCTTGATCGAAATCTTCATTTTATAGGTGGAATCAACAATTTTTTGGGGCAATTTGTTCCTTCGCTGTATACTTCATGTTAGAGGATAAAATAGCTGAAGATGCGCCGCCAAAATCAGTTAACCGAAGTAGCGATTTAGGAGTAGTTAATTAGGTAAATCATTCATTCTTACATATTCATCACTCCATCCATAGTGGAGATAGATGAAGCAATTACAGGGACACGTGCACACACATACACACAAGGACACCAAGGGCAGAGCATAGGCGGAGAGCGAGCAAGTAAACCACACGCACACGCACACGCACCCTTGCTCGACTCCATCAGATCAGAGGGACGCTCGTTATTCACGTATACTCTCACACCATCACACGAGTGCATGCAGCTTAACAGTTGCAGGGGTTGCACTTGCAGTTGTCGCCGCAGCTGCAGCCCTCGCCGGACTGGCCGGCGGCCACCTCGAACTGCCCCGCCTTGTTCTCAGGCGCCACGCCGAGGACGACCACGGCGGCGACCTGGGCCGCGGCACTGCCCTGCTCCGTCAGATCAGGGTACATCTTCCTGCAACGGGCCAAGGCAACCGGTCGGCGAATCAAATCAATAGTTCATCACCACAATAGGAATTGATGCTTGATCAGCTAAAGGGATCACCGGATGAAGTAGTACATAAATAGCACGAGAGTATTTTGCAAGGAGAAGCATCCATTAATGATTGGAAAAAAAACATCCATACCCGCACTTGCAGTCTGAGCCGCAGCTGCAACCGGATCCACAGTTGCAAGACATCCTCCAAATCTGATGAACCCAAAAAGATTTCAAGGAGAAGAAGATGAGCTTTGGTGTCGAGGATGATGATGATCACAATTGAATTGAATGGATAGCCTCCCACCGGCGCCACTATTTATAGCCGAATGGTGTACACAAGATTGGTAGCGTACAAGAGGAGGCCACTCTAGTCTAGCCAATAAGCTGCCGTTGCGTGGCAGTTGCACGATGCTACACGTACGCCGGCCTCCCGGAATTAGTCCAATTTCTCGAAATCGATTGATTATCCTTAGGGGCGGTTAGATGTTACTCCCCTATAATTCTTTACAGAGGGAGTACTATTGAATTTCTTGTAGTGATAAAAAGTGTTTAGGTTACTGGCTTACTGCGGTAGCTGGTTAAGTTAAGCACAAAGACAATCTGAGCTGATCTTTCTGGTTGCTTTCTGAAAAATGAATAAGAAAATATCCAAACCCACTAATAATAGTTCAGCACGCCCACAAATCCAACGTATGGACCTCCTCTACCTTCAAATCTCTATCTCTGGGTTACATTCGCAGTATACTGTTCCTTGATGAAGACGTGAATGGTTTGTGTCAAAAGGAATAATGCGTAGTTGACTTCCCTTCCCTCCCCCTTCTTTCGATTTCACACTATTCAATACTCCTATCATTTTGTATCTTCCCGAAAAGAAAAGAAAAAGGCATGATTTTCTATATATGACTTTCTCAAATGCAAGACAGCAAGAAATGGGCCTTCTTCATTGCTTCTCAAAATTTCTTTTGCGGTACATCAAGTAGCTTTTAGATATTAAACAAAGAGACCATTCATTCAATATCTATCTACAAGTTGTAGGGAGTAAAAGTGCAACATTTCTATTTCTTTTAAGGAAGTATGGTGAACATAAGTACTTTCTTTGTTTTTTGTTTTTTGGGTAACTTTCTTCTTATTTTACTAGTTCCCTCTAGAATCGAGAGGGTACATAACGAATTAGTATTTTGTAAGCATGGGGTATACTTGTACTGGAAGCAATTGTTTTCTCCACTCCAATTTGCAAGTCACAGTCTTCTGTTTCAGGAAGAGCCCGTATGAATCACAATGGTATGCATTACCAGCAATGATCATTATGAAGACTACTAGTATATGAGAACTATTTTATTCAAACATTGATGATGAGATCACAACTTGTTTGTTCTAGTTCTTTTAACCGAGACCGCAACAAAACATCACATCCAATACATCAACAATCTAGAAGGAGATATCTTATTTTGATGCGGGGCATAGAAAACTTTATCACAAAACATTAACAAAGATTATGTCACATCCTTAGGTACTAGCTAGTCCTGCACGTCAAAAACAAAAGAGAATTGAGTACTGGACAAACTCCACGGCGGAGAATATCTCATCAACAGAAACTCAACAAGGCCTATTTTCTCCTATGAATCATAGTTTCAGAATAAATATTCATATCACCGTTTGAAGACTTTTTTTAATGACATCTTGGCTGCACATGGATTATGAAGCTAGTTGAAGCTATTTATTAAAATAATTACTTCCAATCTCAAAGAAAAACAATCCTGGGCAGTGTTTCTAAACTATGGCTACAAACGTGGAAACATCAGGCATCAGATCACAAGAGTCTTCAGTGAAAAAGAAATCGGCATATTTTGCAGTAAATTTCTATTGGATTCAACTAACGTCCTAAAATTATTGGCTACGTCACTTATCAATGCCTAGTTTCTTAAAATTGTTGATGTGACTTGTGAGTTTGAAATGCTTGCGCCGTATCCAAAAGATAACTTTCGTGCCTAGATTTCAAGTTGAAGTTGGTTGCTGTCACTTATCGGTTTGAAATGCTTCGCACTTGTACCACAAAGATAGCTTTCATGCCTAAATTTCAAGCCGAAAGATGCTTGCTGTTACTTGTCACTTTGAAACGCTTCCTGTTTAACATGGTCATTCAAATTGAGCAAGTTTAGAGGATCGGTTTGGCAGCTGTGCCGTGCTTTTTCAGAAATGACAACGCTTCCAGGAGTAGGTTTATTTTGTTGAGACTTAATACCCAAGTGAGTTGGGGCATGACCTTGTCAACAATATACCAATATACTCCCTCCGTTCCCAAATATAAGTCTTTCTAAAGATTCCAACAAGTGACTACATACGGAGCAAAATGAGTTAATCTACACTTTAGAATATTTTTACATACATCCATATGTTGTAGTCCATTTGAAATGTCTCCAAAGACATATACTCTTTTTGTAATCATGAACTGGATCCATTGAACTGGTAACATATACAGTATATAAATACCAATATATGTACGTAGATGGACAGTTGAGAGTTGACAGGGAAAGCAATGGCCTGGTGAATCAAAAAAACTGCAGCTGAAATGTTCAGAAAAAAAAACTCCATTTAACTGCGAGCTCTAGTGTTGTACTCCCTCCAATCTTATATTTGTTTATTAGAATTAGTGAGGTGAACCTGATGATCAATTTTAAGAGCAGTCCAAAATAGAGCCGTTCCGTAAGCACAGGAAGAAACTGCGAGCTCTAGTTTAGAGGATCGGTTTGGCAGCTGTGCCGTGCTTTTTCAGAAATGACAACGCTTCCAGGAGTAGGTTTATTTTGTTGAGACTTAATACCCAAGTGAGTTGGGGCATGACCTTGTCAACAATATACCAATATACTCCCTCCGTTCCCAAATATAAGTTTTTCTAAAGATTCCAACAAGTGACTACATACGGAGCAAAATGAGTTAATCTACACTTTAGAATATTTTTATATACATCCATATGTTGTAGTCCATTTGAAATGTCTCCAAAGACATATACTCTTTTTTTAATCATGAACTGGATCCATTGAACTGGTAACATGTACAGTATATAAATACCAATATATGTACGTAGATGGACAGTTGAGAGTTGACAGCGAAAGCAATGGCCTGGTGGATCAAAAAAACTGCAGCTGAAATGTTCAGAAAAAAAAAAACTCCATTTAACTGCGAGCTCTAGTGTTGTACTCCCTCCAATCTTATATTTGTTTATTAGAATTAGTGAGGTGAACCTGATGATCAATTTTAAGAGCAGTCCAAAATAGAGCCGTTCCGTAAGCACAGGAAGAAAGTGGTTAAAAAAAAACAATGAAGACGCCCACCGTGGGGCTCGAACCCACAACCACAAGGTTAAGAGCCTTGCGCTCTACCAACTGAGCTAGACAGGCTTATTTGAATAATGTTTTTAGTATCCTAATTCTTCTCTGTACTGGAAAAAGTTGACAAACGGAGACCTAAATTCTTGAAGTGCAATAGACATCAGCAAAGGGACGCGGCTAATCTGCACCCGAGCTCATATGCTCCCGCATGAACAGTAAAATCGAAAAAAATTCCAAAATTTTTTTGAGTGAAACATTGACAAAAGTTCTAAGTGCCTGCAAAAATTCGTCGTGAAAATCACATTCCTAGAAGGCGTGGCAAAAAAAACAAAAAAAGTACTCTGAAAAAGCTACTTTCAAACGCATTTTGAAGCACTGAATTTGTTTTTTTTGCCACGCCTTCTAGGAATGTGATTTCATGACGAATTTTTGCAGGCACTTAGAACTTTTGTTAATGTTTGTCTCAAAAAAGAATTGGAATTTTTTGAATTTTTTTCGATTTTTTTTCGATTTTACTGTTCATGCGGGAGCATATGAGCTCGGGTGCAGAATGGACTTTTCGTCAGCAAAGTTGCTTAACTTTGGCGCAAGTTTCAGCCACCAGTTACCAACAATGAAAATCCATGGCATCTGGACCAAATGGACGTCAGTGCACCTCCATGAGACCATGACTTTTGAGAAATAAAGCGAAGTACGCCTAGAGGTTTCAGTCAAGTTCTTGGTGATAGGTCCCATGCAAAACCCACCAGTACACTGCCCTAAATGCAAATCAAATTATATTTATTTCCAGAAAAAATGTTACCGTAATATTTAGGACACTAGAAATAGCACTTGAATGAACCTTTTTGGTAGTACGCATTGCTGTTCCTATGAAAGACCAAAGCATACATACTGGTTACCCTTCGTTATTATTACACTGAATTTTCTAAAACAATGGATGATCTATTCTGCAACACAGAAAATTAGAGCAATTTTTGCAACACGGATCTACAGTGCATCTGCAAGCAGACAGTGCTCAAGGGGAAAGAATCGGAGAACAATTCTTCTCCAACGAGGGGCAAAGCCTTTTTAGCCTACAATAATTTTGCTCAAATCGACACCTTGCGGATCCGAGGCATCCATAAGGTCTCTCAGGCCAACTCTCAGATCAGGTATTCCCTCTTGCAAGATGGCACACACTGGAAATATCGGAACACCTTGCACTCTCCTCTTCAGTTCTTCATACATTGCTTCAGCTCCCTCTTCATCTATTTTGTTTGCGACAATCAACGATGGGCGCTTTGTCATGCCTTCTTGGTAATGCTCTAGCTCCACGACCAGATCGCGTAGCTGCTCCCATGGTGGGATACCCTTCCTACCGTTGAGTGTTGCTGCCAGGTCAAGTACATAGGACAGAACTTTGGTGCGCTCAATGTGCCTCAAGAAGGCATGGCCCAGGCCACGGTTCTCATGGGCACCTTTGATAAGACCAGGTATGTCAGCAACTTTCACTGACAAGTAGTCGTCGTAGGTCAGGCTACCAATATTGGGCCTTAGTGTGGTGAACGCATAGTCAGCGATCTCTGGGCGAGCCCTAGAGAGAGCACTCAGAAGTGTGCTCTTTCCGGCATTAGGCAAACCAACAAGGCCAACATCAGCAATGCTCTTCAGTTCTAAGACAAGAAAAGACTCTGTTCCTGCCTGTCCAGTACTTAAACGGGCTACCTCCTCTTGTCTATTTCCTTTGGATAGACGGACGTCTCTGCCGATAGAAGCATTCCCTAGCCCACCCTCCCCTCCTTGTGCTACGATCAACCGTTGCCCAGGTCTTGTCATTTCAGCAACAGAATACTGTATGTCATCTTCTTCCCTATCCTCATCTGCATCTAGAGC